GTGTGTGTGTGTGTGTGTGTGTGTGTGTGTGTTTGCCAGTAAAAGAGAAATATTTTAGACTACTTACCGACATGCCTTTCTTTTGCAAGGGTTACGAATTGTCCAGAGAGGTGCAGAAACAACAAGAGTGCTAACAATGCCATGGCCCTGAACTGTGGCTGGTCGTCACCTTACACAATATGAATCGACCTCCACAAACACCCCAAAACAACACAATGTCAACAATATGTCTCCTCAGTCTTATTCCCTAGTCAAGTTGCAGTCTGTCCATGAGTATGGTTTAGGGAACACTGAACCGACAATAATAGAACAACATCTGGGTGAATTATTGACACATCAATTTATAGACTACCCAGAACAATAACTTCAGAAAAAAAACTATCTACAGCACGTCGCGATACCACCTAACATGGCGCTAGGTTCCGATATCTAAATCCAGCGCTAGATGCAACACTCTCCGCCTCGCTCGTCCCTTCTCCGCGTTGGCCGCCATCTTGATTCTCTCCCCTCCATAGCCCGGAGCCAGCTACGCGCATCTAATTCTCTCCCTTTCCCCCTTTTCCTTCTTCCGGTAAGCGTGTTACACGAGATTCGTGCGGGCCAGCCAAAACTGAACACACGCTTACACATGAGGGAGCTTCCTCGGGGCCCAGCTCCCCATCCAACGTTTTTCCGAAAAAAAAATCGATAAAGGCTTCGGCTCTTGGGGGAACCCCTCTCCTGGGGTACAAAGGGGAAGGGGTGGGGGTGATGTTTCTTCCGGTTGGCTTATCTCCTCGGTTGTCTCCTCTCGCTTTTAGTCCTTTCTTTAGTAGACATTGGTGATTCTTTCGTATATATGTGTTTGTGTTTCTTAGAGAACGGCTTGAGGAATGTGTTACCACGACCGACATTTACACAGAAAGAGCGGCGAAAAAGAATGATAAACACAGCAATTCGCTCACAAAACACGAATTTAACAAACTAAGCCTAAGCGAAGCTGAAAGACATTGAGTTAATTGTTAGCTCTTCAATGGGGTGTGGTGACTGTAATTTATTTGTGTACGAGTTGTATATTTTACATGAACTTCGTATTTGTTCGATCAATAGTATTTGCATAGTCATAAATTTGTGAGAACCTTGAAATCTAGACTCTGCTGTCCCATGTAGCTGGGACATTTCGTGCAATTAGCTGTGGACTTGACAAAAATGGTGGCCCTCGAGGTTCAGCAACAAAGACAACAAAACAACAATACAGTAGACCTGGTTTGCTTGTATACTTCTATCGGAGCACCGGGGAACAGCGACTCTATTTTACTTGTATACTTGTAAATAGTAAAAGTAGAACTAGAATGTTGTAATATTGCCCCTCTTCCTGTTAACTTTTTGGCCTGGCAAGCACTGACTGGAAAGTGAAAGGAAAAGCTATACATGTTCGATATTTGGCGAATAATACATCTGGGTACACTAAAATTTATCAACTTTGATAGTTCTTTTCACATATGCCAGTGAATCAAAACGGTATTTTGTTTCACAAACTGAAATGCTTATTCATAACTCACTTAAACCCCATAGCTCAAGAGTTTTTTTTGTGGGGTTTTTTTTTGGGGGGGGGGGGGGTTGTAAGTGTTTCACGGCGCTCGCAACTGCATGAGGTTGTATGAGCGAGCGGGACACAGTAAACATTTCAGTTTTGTAGGACTTCTGAATTTTGGCCGGGTGGCGGTCGAAGCCGACGATATTAGATCTTCCCTATCTTAAGATCAGGGGTGTGGCTGAAAGACAGCATTAAGAAGGAGCCAATGAGTAGGGGAAGAAAAGGCTGCAGAAATATCAGGAGCCCAGAGCAGGGGCTAGGCGGGGTGGGGAGGAGAAAGGGCACAAAGTGGAGACGGAAGCAGACGACAGAACATGGTTAGAGAGCAGGAAAAGAGTAAAAGGAGAACATTGTTGGAGAAGAACATTTTCCATCGCTGTCAGGTTTCGATCCTGCGACCTATTGAATGAGAGCAAGACTGTACCTCTTGACCCCGAGAGTCTCTGTAGTTGTTTCTGAGGTTGTTTTTGCTGTCAATCCAAAAGATTGCGGATTCCGACCACTACCATAAAGTGACAATTAAGCCTGTCTGTTCTGTTAGTACTAAAAAGGCTTTATCTGAGAATGGTTGTTAGGGAAGAAGATGACTCTTTATTCCCAATGCCCATTGTTCAACTGTCTTCAGTGCGCTTTATCAGATCAGTTCCCATAGGATTGGGAAATGGCGTTATCCAGTGTGAAATTGGGTTAAATAGGCCTTTTCTTTGTTTCATTACATTTGATCCAGAAGTCCATTATCACATTTAGCGTGCAAACACAAGATTTGGCCCATACTGTCACCTGACACATAGCAGTCTTCTAATTTATCTAGTGCACCCCATCCTATCATGGTTTAGAATATAAGCGTATCTGATTTTGGAATATGACATAGGGTGGTGACGAAATAAAAACATAAAGGAAAAGCTTGTCTCAATATTATAGCCTTTAATTGGCTGATACCTCAATTAAACAAAAAGCATTATGTGTACTGCAATCCATACTAATAATTTTACTACCTCTGCGCACTAAAATATACCATCACATTGACCAACTACTGTCAAAAGGCGAGGGAAATTTTCTGCAGTTTGCTCATGGTATGATAGTTTCTTGCAATGTAATACGAAAAAGAAACCGTGTTGTTTTGACATTTTTTTTCATAGTCTCATATTTTTTACTTGTCTCAAGATGTTCCTGTCTTTAAACGGCATGTTAACAATTTAGTTCATTCAAAGTGATGAATTCCTTTGATCTTTTTGGAATATCACAAGACTTGAACTAAAGATCCAATTGTACAATAACAAAGGCATTTATAGCTCTAAAAAGATTCGCTATCTTCATTTTTGTTATCTTTTTAAAAAAAGAAGGTGGGGAGGGGGGAGGTTAAGAGTACGCGTAAAGAGAGCGGGGCGGAGAAAATATTAGCAAAATAGTAAAATCGTCATTGCTGTTGAAACGTACTGACAATGGTCGTGGACACCATTCTGAATTATGCATGGTCGTTGGTTTAAAAAGAAACAAAACAAGTAAAGCGACTACGATTTTGGGAGGGTAAAATAATATTCCCGAAGGTCAATAGCATTTCAAATCGATGTGCAAAATCCTAGAGCATAATAAATTATAGTCAAGAGAAAATTGAAATATAGCAGTGCTAACATGAGCATGAGAAAATTAAGGATCACCATGGCAGCAGCAAACAGTTGTGGTTCTCAAAGTGTCTGCAATGCAACACCTGATGTTCTACAGACTCCTCGGGGTCTCCACATTTGGTGTTCGCCAATTCTTGCTTTTCTGTTTGTCTGCTCAGATTTTGAACGACTATAACCTTACTGAGTTGTCAGTGGGAAGAAAAGAGCCCAATCTTTCCCTCGTACATGGTTGATATTGCCATCGAAATTCGAAACAGCTGCTTTACGTCGGAACATTTTACGCTCTGTAGCAGTGCCTTCCCATTACTCAGCAAACTTGTTTTTCGTTGTAACTGGTCATCTGTTTTTCACAGCGCTGAGGGTTGTATCTTGTCACGTTGTTGCACTCGCCAATATACCTTTCGGATAATGTGTCTGTTTTGTTGCAACCAACCTGGAATGTTTGGATGTCTCATGATTCATTGTATGGGGGTGTTTATACCATGGCAGGTTCCTTAGCATATTTTTTAGATTTTTGCACCTCACAGTTGCTTTAAAAAAGAAAACAAAACAGTATAGAATTAATAAAGAGCTAGTGAACATCACAACATACTGGGGCTTAGCTAGAAGGAAATACTGGGCGTACTCAAAGGGTAGGGAACATCTTCTGCCTCTGAAAACGTAGCTTCGTAATCGGTGTCTGGGGTGTAGCGGTTGAATCCTTCGTCGTCGCTCATATAAGACCTGAATTTGATTCCCATGTGGGTAGAACTTTTATCGGGGACGACGGTTTATTTGCTAGGAAGTTGTATCCCTTTTAGCTCGTTTGGTACTGCCAGGCAGGGTCGAAGCCCACCTCAGAATTGATCTAATTGTGTTGGTGGAGTTAAAGAATCTGCATTTTTAGGTCTCATAACCATGCACGAGCTTTCCACGTCCTTACAAGCCCCTTTCTCCCTCTCAAAATGTCGACACAAATTTCGAAAAGTTTTAAAAGTCACTCTATATCCGGCTTTGGTTCTGGTTTTATTATGACGTGCTGTCATTGTCACCACTACATCTTTCTACTTGACTATATGAGTGGGTCTATATTCCGTTTGGAAATTTCTGTTCCATTTACAAAAGACAACTCTACCTTTTCAGTGCTGAAAATTTTCTATCTACGTGTGCACAGACAATAATAATAACAATATTTATTTAAGAGAAATTTTATAAAAAGAATATTCTGCAGCTCCACAACGTTCAAATACTGCAAGAACGTCTTCTACAAATATGTAAAAAAAATGGCAGAGAAACAGTTCTGGACCTCACAAGCAAGCACATTCATGTAAAACAGCAGGGGAAGAGGTTAAGACCGTGCTTTGCAGAATTTAAAAAAAATGAAAGTAGGGCTTTATTGATACCTCCTTTCTCAGTGTAGCATTCTCTCCCACGGCTTTTAAGAAAGGCGCCCACTGTGACCGCCGTTTTCAAAACTGGTCTAAAGAAACATTTAATTAAATTCTATTTAACCAGCTCACTTTAGTTTTCTTCTTGACACTGATGTGATCACCAACCATTAGTGATTGTTATCCTGTGTATGCGTGCATGTGTTATTTTCTCAAACTTTGTATGTTACAGGTGCATACATTTTAAAGGAAGGTTGAACAATGAATGGGCCGTATGCATGAAACGTGGCGTTGTGTAAGCTGACACAATAGATTTTATCGTTACTCAGCTACAGTTTCCAGAAAAACGGTGCTGTGGAAGTGGTCATTATTATTATCATTAATATTATTATTATCATTAATTTATCGTTAATATTATTTTTATAATACAAATGATAATTATTTTATAATAATGATAATAATAATAACAACAACAACAACAATAATGATAATAATAACAATAATAATAATAATAATAATAATAATAATAATAATAATAATAATAATAATAACGAATTATTATTATTGTTATAGTCATTTCTATTTTATTTCTTGTTGTTCTTGTTGTTGTTATTGTTGTTGTTGTTGTTTGTGCCTGTGTGGTTAGCCTATCTCTTTGAAAAGTTTG